TAAACTGACTCTTGATTTTTTCAAGATATTCTTTGGCAGTAGCACATTCAGGGATTGAGCCCCTTATCTGTTCTTCTATGATGGCCTTGGCCACCAACAGGCACTTGTGGTTGGAGAGGGTCCATTGTCTATGTTCAAGGTCATATTTCATTCTTATTTCAGCATGATCACGCTTTCGAGCAGTGAAATCAGCGTCAGATTCATTTTCACCTCTCACTGGGTCCTCTGGCTCAGTAGGACACGGTGAGGTGATGGCAAAATCGACCTCTCCCAATGCAAGTTCCAATTCATACTTCTCCCGCCACACACGGTGATTGATCCCATTGAGTGTCGGGATGTTGGCAATGTTCACAATGCATTTGCCTCCTAAAATCACACCAGAGTAAGTAAGAAACATTTATACATAAAATTTCATGCTTTAACTCAACGTTGGTCAAATTAAAACTTATAATTCATCCATGCAAACATTTTACATCACCGTTGGACAGAAGTAAAATTAATGCATAATTTCTCATGGATCAAAATTATAATATTGTTATTAACAACGTTGGTCAGAAAATAACAACATCATAATCTCATAAAAAAAATATCAGAAATTCATCACTTCTCTTAAAATTAAATTATCCCGTTGGTTCAAATTTAATCAAAGGAGAACGAAAATTATCATGCACAGCGGAAACATTAATAATCTTTCATATTATTATTTTCCAGAAGCACTTTGTACTTTACCGTTTTCTGGCAAAATATCGTTGGATAATATTTGCACAGAAAAAAATTGTATCAAAATCATTCAAATTCATCAAAAAATATGCATTAAAATTGCTCCTGAAAAATAATAACAAAAATTTTTCTTTTCACTTCAGCCCAGCGCGGCCCAGCTTGCCCATGCGCGCGGCCCAAGACGGCAAAACCCGGCTCGGCCCAGCTCTCCGCGCGCGCGCAGGCCGCACCCAGGCCGCAACCTGGGCCTGGGCCAGCAAAGTCGCGCTGCCGCGCGCGCCCGCCTAGGCCAGCCGACGGTCTAGTCGCGCTCCACCGTCGAATCGAATCGGACGGCCGAGCGTTCGTTTCGGCCGGTCAAAACCATCGCCGCGGCCGGTGCCCCGGAACCCTAGCTCATTCGCCCCTTGCCCTTTCTCTCTCTTCGCTCTCTCTTCTCAGCCGCAGCGATGACAGCAGCCACCGAGCAGCCGCGAGCGAGGACGGCAGAGCGGGCAGCCATGGCGCCGTCGCTGGCCCCCTCGCCGGCGCACGTGCTCCCCAACGGGTGAGCACGCCGCCGTCGAGCGGCCTGGCCACGGCGCCCCCTTGGCCGAGCCCGGCGAGCAGCTGCCCCCGGCTCGTCCCTTCTTCTCCCGCGCTGGCGAAGGGCCACCCCGACGCACGACGAGGTAGTTTTCTTCTCCCTTCGGATTCGTTTTCTATCTTCTTTCTTTTCTTTCGTTCATCCGAATGGGAAACTAGGGTTAGGGTTAGGGTTCCGACCCTTCTTTTCTTTCTTCTTCCCCTTCTTTCCCCTTTCCCCTTCTTCTTTTGATGTGGGGAATTAGGGTTAGGTCTTATGGTTAAGCCAAATCCGAATTAGATATGTTCTGTTCTTGGGTTAGGGATACACAGAGGCCACCTGGCTCCGATGCCATTGTTAAATTTCTTAGGACCCAATCGAGTCAAGTTCACCAGATCGGGTACACAGAATAGGAATACATGTTCAAGATTTACAGTATATACACAAAACCTAATGCATGAACTACAGAGATATAAAAGAAAGAAAAGGGGTAGGTGGAGTAGGAAGTCGCAGACCATCGAAGGCCATAGTGGTCGAAGCAGTCGGAGTGGTGGAAGCGCCGGCCGCGGCCTCGTTCGCGGATGCCATCTGCGCGCCGGCAGCGACGTTTGGTGGAGAGAGGAGTCGGTGCAGTGGCGTCCTTGGCAGCGGCGTGTGCGTCGGGGTGGCGTTGCCGGCGTCGGTGGTGCTTCCCGTCGCTGACAGCGCCCTTCTCAAGATCGGGTTAGGGTTAGGATGTCGGTGGGGAGTCTGGCGGTGCGGTGAACCTCGTACTGCGAGCCCCGACCGCCACATTTCCTTTATAGCACTGTGCGACGGGGGCCCACCAACCATGTAGGGTTGGGCGCTCCCGATCAGAGCGCGAGAACAAGGCCCAAAGGCCGTTGGGCCTAATGGCATGGGAGATCAATCCAACACTAATCAGACAAAAATGATAACTATCTGGCAAAATTTAGAACTATCGGAACTAATCGCGCTGTCCAATATGCAACCTAACGTCTACCTAGCCAACACAGAAATCTACTGCCGAGGCACTTGGTTAGGAATGGACGCAAAGTCCACTTCCAATCGTCCAACCGTCCAAAAATCTACCATCCAACACGTTTTCCTGACACCACATATCTTCTACCATCAACAAAAAGCACAAAGAGATAACCCACTAAGAAAATGGCATTTGAGCATGTCCTGATACAAATAGCTTGTGTAGGCAACTAGTTATCTATACCTAATAATAAAGAAGCAAAATTTCTGCTATCTCTAAATTTTCGTCCAGCCTATTCACCGCTGTTGTGTCTGTCTTTTTTTTTCTGTTTTCATCTCTGTTCCTTCTCCCGCTGCTTTATCTTTATTTCTTCTCCCGCTCGTAGGTTGGGTCCCATATGTGGTCTCAAGAAAAGGGATGCCCCACCTCCTGGCGATGTCGAGTGACTTTCCTTTGTCGTGCTGCCCTTTTTGTGTTTTTATTGTTTGTTTTTTATCTCTTGATGAAATAACTTTGGTTTTTCTTATAACGACAAAAAAACTAATAAATACAAGGGGTCTTTGAAGTTTTGAACCTTACTTAATAAACAAATAACTTTATTGCTAAGTTGTTGGTTTTAGTTAAGAAGAATAAATTATTATTATTATAACATGAATAATTAGCTGATGACCTAAATAATCAAACCAAAAATTAAAATCTTGAGCAGTTTATCGCCTAATCTAATCAAAAGAAACGTTTCTCCAAGCTGTCCGCACATATCAGTGCAAATCTCTAAGCTATCCGAATATACCAGTGCAACTTTCAACAAGGGGTGACATGTGAAAACCGATTTTAATAAGATATTAAAATTACGTAGCTATCTATATCTAATACTAAAGAGAAAAATTAAGATGCCACGACCGCTGCAGTTGTGTAACGAGATGAAGCGAATAGGATTTGATACTTTTTTACAACCGTCGCAACGCACGGGCATGTTTGCTAGTTTATCAATAATATAAGAACATGCCCATGGAACTTATTAAGATATAAAACAGAACCAAGCTGACAAAGATGGTTGCCAATAAGATGAGTTGACCGAAGAACTCAAATCCAGGCTGATTCTCTGCTATTTAACTTAATCACTAAATCTGTACTGCTTCACATCACAAACATAGTAACATCACAATGAAAACCACTGGATAGGAAATGGACAGAATAAGATAGACTCCACCAATAAGTTACAGTGTTCCACAAACAGACAAGCCACATGGTTTCTTGTTTTACACAAGGAGATGCAGCAATATGATATGTGTACACACACTTGACGAATGAATAACCACAGGCATCAATCAGGTGCAGATCGAATCGTTGAAGCTAGAAGTGCTCGGTTATACTTCCACCTATTCTTTTAAGTATTATGCACTCAGTTCAGTCGCAAACCCACAGGTGATAATTGGCAAAAAATGCCTGGAGCAATAGGTAGCCACATATAACTTTTATCTACAAGCAAAAGGGCGCATGCCAATTGCCAATGGAACAGACATACCTGACTAGCTGCCTATTGGATATCCAAACAGGGCTAGGCAAACATGTTACATCAAACCTTATTCCTGCATCAGCCTGTTCGGCTGGGGCTGAAACGATCGTATACGATCGTGGATTATTACTGCTGGCTGATTTGGTGCGAGAGAAAAATACTGTTCTGGCTGGAAATTTACGATCGTTTACGACCAAGCGAACAGGCCTAAGGGGGTATCCAAACCAGTTGATCAATATTAAAAAGTGGTAGACTGATATGCTGCCTAGCTTAAATGCAAGGGATGCTAAACTTCTACAGCTTTTCATCTCAAATTTCAAACACAGTAACAAGCTTTTCATCTCAAATCTCAAACACAATAACATCATACTAAATACAGTGGTTACAGCGTCCACATGACTCTGAAACAATACCCACCAATAATTCTAGTAAAGCAACAAAAACAGAGTTTGCTGTTTCAGCCAATACACGATACTGCTAGTTGATATCTTTACAGAATGAATGACAAACAACAATCAGGTGCTGGTCAAAGTATCTTCCAATTACCTGAGCTCATAAGAGATTGTGCAGAGTTTTAGCTCTTTGAACTAAATTGCTAACCACTGAAAGTACTTGAATATATAGTGACCACTACCTCTTTAACTGAACAATATTACTTAGTTCATTTGCTAACTTAACAATGACTCCATGAAGCTTGTAATGTATATTTATTTCTCTCACCAATTAGTCTCGACCTAAGAGCAATTGCAGAAGCATCAATGTTTTGCTGAGGAACACCAATCAAGGTACAAACTTCACTTATAAAGAAGAGGCAGACATTAGTTAATATCTCGATAGTAATCAATATTAAAAGTCACCTAGCAATAACCCAGCTAACAAAGTCATGGATCCTCAATAACAAATTCATAGATGCGCAAAATATATCCATTTGATAATCCATTAAGGTCAACACATCTTTAATTACTAGGAGCGATATAGACTAGCAGTCAGCATATTATTCAACAAATGTCTCTACAAGCATCAAGCAGTAAGAGACATGCAAACAATCATTCATATTTCAAATTTGCAATTAAAAAACATCTCCAGGCATCCACTAAACAAAGTAGCATCCTTGCTCATCGATCACCTGAAAAGAGTAACAACAAATGTCGCAAGAAAATTGGTATGATCAACAGCACTTTCTGGGCACACCAATCCACAGCCTCGCTATTGCCGAGTCAAATAGCCAACCAGAAGCTATTAACCCCAGTGACAACGCACCCTGATTCTGAGCCATCAACATCTCCACCACATAGACTTCACAAACAAAGATAACAACCAGAGACACGAGACATAACAGTACAAACCATCCAAGTCATAATAATTCGAAGTCTGGAATTAGGTGCAACTTCAAAAGAACATACCAGAACTCAATTATCCCTCTCATTTGTGTTCACAACTCTTATTAGCATGGAAAACTGCAGAAAGTAAAGGTACTTGCGATATAGGTCGCTCTAATCTATTATCCAACTGATAGTAAGATACTACTACTGAGTCCAGTAACACTAGTACCACGACAAAACGGACAACCCATTCTCATATAGGCCATAGCAGCAGATCAAAACTTCCCGCGCATCGGACCACCACATTACCTCTTGAGGTTGAGCAAGACCACTGCGATGGCAGCCGTGGCAGCTGCTCCAGCAGCCGCGGCAGCCACCAGTACGGGAGGCACCACGCCCTCATCCTTAGGCGTCCCGGCCCTGGCAGCAACCGAAACACATTCCTCCTCTTCCCTGCTCTTGCCATCGGCAGCGGCGGAACCCTTCAGGGTCTCGATCTCCTCCTCGAGGGCGGCCTTCTCCCTGTACGCGGTCTGCAGCTGGTCACCGAGCCCTGCGCCCCTGCGCACCTCCCCCTCATGGCTAGCCTTCTCCGCCTCGAGGAGGCCCTGGAGGCGCTCGACCTCGGCGCGGAGCGTGGCGGCCTCGCTCTCGTTGGTGGCGGCGTCTTGCTCGGCGGCGGCGACCTCCTCGCGGGCCTGGGACACGAGGACCTCGAGGCGGCGGGACTCGGAGGACAGGAACCGGTTCTCGTGGCCCACGGCATCGAGCTTCTCCTCCAGGTCGCGCTTCGCCGCGCGGAGGGCCTCGATCTCGTCCGCCGCGTCGTGGAGCTTGGGCGTGCCGTCCCCGCCGTTGGTGGAGAACTCGAAGTCCGCGGCGGCGGCGGTGGGGGAGGCGAACGTCTCCTCGCCGTTCTCCATCGGAAACCCTCGTCCTCCGGTACTCCTCTCTCTCTCTCTCTCTCGCGGGCTCGCGGCGGCGCGATGGATGCGGTGCGAGGGTGGAAATGGAAATAACCCTTTCCCCGTCGGGTATGACGGGATTTTTAACTTTTCGTCGTACGGGTGACACTCCTGAGTTCGCTAGTTTTATACGCGCTATAGTTATCACGGTAAACAGGGAACCTCCTGCGTTTTTGTTATTTTTACTGACATGACACGTCAGGTGAGCACGCTAGCGTGGCAGTGAGTCCGAGAAAGGCCTACAGAGCATGTGAAAATAACCTATTTACCCCGGTTACTTCTCTCCCTCTACTCACTGACGCGTGGGCCCTACACGTTAGCTTTGTCTTCAACCTCCAGCCATCACCCAGAGAGGGAAGGCGAGGAGCTCGTGCAGTCCCGGCAGCGCTGCTGCCCCTCCTCGACCTCTGGCATGACTTGCGGGACAGCCCGCTGTGTCGCGCGCCCGTCCATTTAATTTGACCGCGAGGCGCGAGTACAAATCGAGCTACACCAGCACCATGCACGCGACGCGCTGCGATGTCATCCTTCAATGAAGCCGGTCATCCGGAGCATGGAGTCACGGAGATGGCGCCTGTTGCTCGACGGCGGGCCAACGGACGCCCGCAACGTCCACGTCGCCGGTTCTGCCTCCTCCGACTTCCGCCAGCCGGCTAATAGCAGCAAATGCGCAGGAGCTGTCAGCCTTGGGGCCGGGCACGTCCATGGGTCGAGAGCGCGCTGCGAGCGCATTGGGTAGCTGCGTCGCCTGCACTGGCATAGGTGACGAGCTAGCGGCGGTGGCTTGTGCGTGTAGTAGGTCTCCGCCCACAGCACCTCGAACTCGACGAACTCTTCCATTGCCATGGCAGAGATGGCGAATTTGCAGAGCCCAAGAGCACCGAGCGAGTGTGGCAGGAGCCGTACTTATTTGGTAGTCGTGTCTTGAAGTTCGGAATCACGACGGATTTCGGCAAGAGCGACCGCGATGTACGCTGGCAGGGCGAACTCCGCACGCCTCGCGAAAGGGGCAGCAGCGAGTGGGTGCGGATCCTGTTGCCGAACGGGCGCACGGCAGAGCGTGCGTTTCAGCAAGGCGTGTCGGAGGTCAAGGAGGGGCAGCAGCCCGAGCGGGACTGCACGAGTTCCCCCTTCCCTCTCTTTGTGGTGATGGTGTGAGGTTGAAGATGAAGCTGACGTGTGGGGTCCACGCGTTAGTGAGTGGAGAGAGAAGCTGCAGGGGTAAATAGGTCATTTCGTATGCTCGGTAGACCTTCTCAGGCTCACTGCCACGCTGGCGTGTCATGTCAGCAAAAATGGTAAAAACATAGGAGGTTCACTATTTACGATGCCAATTATGTAGAACCATGCATAAAGTTGGCAAACGAAGGAGTGTCATCTGTAATGATGGAAAAAAGTTAAAAATCCTAGGGACGATGGTCCCCGATCCCCGTTCCCCGATCCCTTTGGCACAAATGAAGCACAAGCAAAGTAAAAGCCCATTAGCCATTAGGCCCACTAAGAACCAGGTGTGTAACTTTCTCTCAGGTGCATCGCCTCCGCCGTCCAACACATCGCATTCACACGCATCTCGCCCACCTCGCAGCATCGAGAAAATTGCATATCTAGGACTTCAATCGTCACGCTTCGCAGTTTTGAGATTCGAAACGTAGACTTTGTAAAAATAACCCTCCAAAACTCTTGATTTTCTTGACATTATATGTATTTTCTCTCTTTTGTGGTATTTGTCCGTGTATCTGTGACCTTGATGGACGTATTTACCCTCGTGTGTAATTGACGTGTCCCTGGTCTCTTGTTCGCCCTAGCCCGATCATACGAAGTCGTGCCGCCCTTCCCTTCGCGACCCGCCTCGACGGAGACGCGGCGGCCATGGAAGGATCGGACGACCTTCACTCGCGACATGGCCGCGCCCCGCTCCAGAGGCCGCGCCGGACGCTTCGGAATTGGCCGCGACATGGCTGCGACTGTGTCTAGCCTGGCCGCGCCGGACGCCGAAGGACTGCCAACAGCCGTGTCGCTCCCGGCCGGCCAGCCAGCCATCCCAGGGGCGGCGGCGGCGGCGGCGGCCTGCTTGCCTACCTGCCAAGGGCGTGCGTCCATGCGTACGTATGAGCACCTACCAGCAGCCAAGGCACGGGTCACCTACGTACGAGCGGCAAAGTACCGAGCTGCACGGCTCACGTACCTACGAGCGGCACGGCAAAACATCCGAAGGGCAAAAAGTGCATTGAGGTGACAAATACACGAATGAATACTATAAAACGGAGAAAATACACATAATGTCAAAAAAAAAATCAAGAGTCCAAAGTTTGCAGCGTCATTGTTACAAGTCGATGTTTGGAGTACCGAAACTGCCAAACACGACGATAGAAGTCCCACGGCCCACGCAGCGACCGCACACCGGCCACCGAGTGCCGCAGCAACGACGCACACGAGCACAAAGAGGCAGTGTCGCAGCGAGGACTACATCCCAGATTCCCAACTTCACAGGTGACGGCGGATCTGGGACACAGCGGCTTCATCGCCGGTGGCCGGCTGTACGCACAAGTGCTCGCACTGAGCGCCTGGCTGCGGCGACCTAGGTGAGCTTCGCTAACCTCCGCTCGGGGACGTGGACCCCGCGGGAATTTCCCGTTGCCATCTTTTCGGATGTTCCAATCGGACGGCGTGGAGAAGAGGTTTCAGATCGGACTGCTGAGATTGGACACTGGGGGTGGAAAGGCGTATTGGGGGTGGAAAGGCGAGAGCAAAAACGGGTCGCGTTGCACCCACGCGGAAAGGAACAAAAAAAAAAAAGGCTCGATTCGCTGTTGCCTGCCACAGGTCCACAGCTCGCCGCGGACGCCGTCCCCGCTCAAGTGAAGGTCCGGAGTGAAGAGCCTTGCGATCTCCGCTGCGCGCGCAAGATGGTGAGATTGGAGCTCGGATTCCTATGTTTCTTTGGTTGAGAGGATCTGTGGACTTCTGTCTGTGTTTGAATCTTAGGGTTTTAGTTGTGTTTTAGCGGGAAGATTAAGCATCTGATGGGCTGCGATCTGCGATTCCCCTTTGTGCTGCGTTCTTTGATTACTTACTTATCCTGATCCCTGTTCTTATGCTTAATGCCTCACTCGGATTCGGTGCCTACTGGTTTAGTTGTCTGATTTCTTAGAAAGCTCGAGGGGGGACTGCGCCCAATATGTTGGCACTTAAGACTGAACAGGCTGTTTTGAAAATATTGTGATTGTTCTGGTTTATCAAATGCAAATAGCTGAATAACGGTGAAAAAATAGTGGTTTAGCTACCTTTAGAGATGAGCTGGAGTGATGTTGTTTGGAGCTGCTCATGTAAGCGTGCTGAGACTGAGAGTAATTTTGATGCTCATACTGATATGTTTCATGGCGTGTATTTGCACATGTACATCCAAAAGAACAAGAAAATATGTTCATATCTGGTATCATTTTGTTAGAGCTGGAGGGTTCCTTCCATCTCTTCTGTCATGTTTTGTGTGCCTTCATATCTGATATCAGCAATTCAGCATGTCTTCCTTTACCTTTGAAAGATTACTTCTCTGATATTTTGTGGTAGCGTCCCTGTCATTTTGACTCGCAATCAATGACCCAACTGCATAAGAACTTTAGGAGTTGTTGAAATAAATCAGTATTGGTTAACTTGTTTTTTTTCTGGCTTAAATCTTTTCATGTTTCTGTTTAACTTGGTCTTTTAGGAAAAAGAAAATATCTTAAATTCAATGGAATTTAAGATGCTCAGACGTGCTTTATCCAGTATCCACAGCCATATGCTTTTGTTGCATTTCTTCTGATGGAATTATATAATTTTGTTTGCCAGGCTGACCCAGAGTTGGAAGCTATCAGGCAGAGGAGGATGCAAGAACTAATGGCACAGCGTGGTGGGGTAAGATACCAAACTCCATGACATAAATTGAAGCTGTCACATGTAGATCTCCTTGCTAATGCAAGTGCTTGTTTGGGTACTCCTTAGTTTACTGACTTTTGATCTAATGTTAACTTTTAATTAGGCAAATCAGCAGAATGCGGGCCAACAAAAAGCTCAGGAAGATGCGAAACAGTATGGTCCATTCCTCCACCATCTTCTCATGCTATAGCTCATCATCTCAAGCTTTGTTCTGTTAAACCTGGAGAATACTGAATTGTCTTTGAATATAACTCTCCATCAGGGAAGCTGAGGAACGCCGACAGATGATGCTTGCTCAGATATTATCTTCTGAAGCCAGAGAAAGGCGTAAGTTCTTGTTATCGAAGTCATGTATATATGTGCTTAATGCATTTTTTTTAAATCATTTACATTCAAATGGCTGATGCATCTTTTAGTGAGTTGTTTCTTCCATTGCATGGAAACTGTTATGTGTTTTTAGGGAGCTCTGCAAGTCGACCTGCAAAAGTTGGATGAAACACTTTACAGAATTTCTTTTGTTATATGCAATTATTGGAGTCTGTTAATTTCTCTCTTCTGAATTTTAGTTTCTGTCCTTTGGTAGTAGAATGTTTAGGGTGAGTTCAGCAGCGATATGTGGTTAGGGTCCCTGCCCAATTCTGTGTTACCTCAAATCATGCTGTCATGGTTTCCAGTCGAAGCAAAGTCACTTAGATTGTAATCATGCTGCTACAATGTAAGCTGTTGTTCCCTGTGAATGCTGTTATTTGCTTTTCATAAAGCAGGCCAGAAGCCTTTGGTGTGAGACTGTTATGTGTTTCAGCAGTTGTGTGCTGACCCAATGGGTTTATATATTCCTGAAAAGAACAGGACAGTTGCTCTGTCCACATAGTTACAGTTGGAGATCACCAGTATTCTTTCATGAATCATTGCATAATTTTCCTCATCATATATAGATATTGCAACAAATAAGAAAAGAATGCATATTTGGAATATAAGCTAGGTGTTAAGCATGGAATTTTATTGATGATGTTTGCCATTTCAAACAACTTACTCTTCTGATT